TCAACGCCACCAAAACTCAAGCCTGTATTTTCTCTAGAAAGGCGGAACTCAGTATGCCCGACATTGTAATGTCTGGCTCCACCATCTCCACCAGGCCCACCATATCTATACTGGGTATTTCCATCAGCAACACTCTTTCATGGAATAATCATGTCAGATCCATCGCAAAAGCTGCTTCACAAAAACTCGGATTCTTGTTCCGTGCGAAAAGCTACTTTACACCTCAACAGCTTCTCATGATCTACAAAGCGCAGATACGGCCTGTTCTGAAATACGGGTGGGTGACGCCACACTCACTCTTTGACATCATTGGAACACCGTAGGAAGGTCGGCGACCTTCCACTTTTCTATCGATACTTCCACGGGAAATGTTCTTCGGAAATCTATGCTATCATCCCTTCACTAGCAATACCAGTCAGATGAACTAGACAAGCACAGTCAGCACATCATTACCTCGAAAGATGTCGAACAGCACTTTATCAAGACTCCTTCATCCATAGAACGGCTAGGCTCTGGAATTCATTGCCTGTGGAAATATTCCCAACATATAATGTCCAGAAGTTCAAAAAAAATTCCAATACCTACCTGCTGTCCCTATCCTCCCTAGGAACGCACGATGTTCTGTAAACATTATAGGGATTCCCTTTCGTGCGCTCCAAGCGATAAAAAAAACTACTCCAGCTATTCCGTAGCACGAGGTGGCCATCTTATCGAGGGAGTTGACACACGATATATTCACTTCATTTCAAGGGATTCTTCGTCTAACAAGCAATCATGAAATTGCCTGATCCTAAACATTGAGCCCTATTCAAATAAAAGGATCGTTCTAATTGGTCTTTGGTAACGATTTTTTGTTTTGAAAGTTGTACTTTTCCATACGATTTTACTTCTCCGCACAATTTTTAGTTTTTCGCACGATTTTAACTTTTATATCTATCTATCTAGATTTCTTGTGGTTGTTTTCTAGTACTCACTTTCATTGGCAATTTAACGAGAGGTGTTCTGAGAAAATTACAAGAGCGTACATTGTTTTCACCACCTAGGTATTCTTATGAACTTCCCCATTCTGTTTCCTCATATTGAAGCCCCGCAGTTCATCAATATTTCTGCCACATTTTTCACTCACTGTTCGGTTTCCATTTTTGGTTGTTTACAAAATTCGCTGAATTGCGGTTCCAAATGAAGGAATTACTTCCTTTCGTAATATCTGGAACTGATTTTTCAATCTCCTGCATTATTTCTGCCTCGCCAATATCTTCGAATCTCTACATTCTCACTGGAATATCATTCGCTGTTTATTTCTGTTTTTGACATTAACAATTGTCAAACTGAGGCGACGCACAACACTTTTCGCGCGCTCACGGCGATAAATTTTCCGTCAGCTCTACGTTCGTCCAAGAAGAGTTCAAGCTGTTGAACATGGCTCTCCTATCCCATTTTGTAACAATGAACTTAGCAGACGACATTGCTGCCCAGATAAAATATTATGATTTTACATTCCTCTATCCCTCTATATTAATCAATGATTCAAAATTCTAAACCCTACATAATTATGTTCAAAACAAACACGACATTGGCGCACATCAGAGGATTTTCTGTTAGTCAATGACATTGACATTGATAAACGAACAACAAATGCTAGAGTTGCTATGGTAACGTATTTGAGTAGAATTGTCGATAAAATCGTGCGGAAATAGCTATTTGTGTATTTAGAGCGCAAAGTGATAGATTGCCGCTCGACAAAGAAAGTTACCGCGCGATGCGGAGCGGAGCAGGGTAATCTTTGGAGAGCGGCAATAACACTATGTGCTCGAAATACACACAAGATTTTTTCTACTATCGCAGCTTTTGGAAATAACTACCCTGAAAGTATGAGCGATTGAAATAGTTGAGAAAGCTCTAATCCATAATTTCCCATATGTCCAAAGGAAACAAAAAAGAAAAATTTAAATAACTGACAAGCCAGAAAAAAAAATTCGGGCCTACCGAGAATTGAAACTGGACCACCAGCGTGGCAACCTGAGCTTCAGACCTCTGAGCCATAGTACGATGAGCTCTGCAATCAAATTGAACATTATTCATTGATGCAATAAAATAAAGATACACTGTATTTCTGATGACAACAAAGAGTTTGAATATAAAGTATAATTCATCGTTTTCAACAGATATGCTGTTTCGGGAGCTTCTTGTAGAAATTTGTTGGTATATATCTTCAGCGGTGAATGTTTTGGATTTTTCTCCCTTCATATCCAATAGATTGTTTCTTGAGAAATGCGATAAGTTTCAGATACTTATTGATTCCGATATTATCTTTAACATTCAAGTATATTTACGTACCATCGAATATACAGTGTGTCCATTTAGTGCGTAATTCTTCGATATCTCGAAAGCCATAACCTATAGAGAAAAACTTCGGAGAAAAAACTTTTTCAGTTACGAAAGTTGCTCATTTCAAAATTATTTTCAACACTACTGGGTGTTTTATAAAAGCAGGGCAACTCGAAGAAGAGTTTTTTTAAATGGAACACCCAGTATTGTTCATTCGGAATGAATTCCGCCGAGGTTCACCTTCACAGCGCTGTGAAAAAAATTGAAATCGGTTGCGGCGTTGCCAAGTTATAATTGATAAATCTATTTTTACCATTATTGAAGAGTCATGTTGAATTGGGCATGGTATATTCATTTATTCAAATTTTGAAAATATTCTTGGCATACGGTAGAAGCAACGTCCCACGTAGGACCAATCCAGTAATTTTGCGACATGTTCTTCAACAGGGTGCTCAATTTTGCATTTAGAATTTTGCAAGATTCAGATGACATTCATCAGAATTTTTCAAATGGAACACCCTGTATTTTTATTCAAAAATTCATTCCGACATCTTTCGCCTTTTTATCGCTGGAAAAAAAATTGGAATCGGTTGCGGCGTTGTCAAGTTATGGATAATTTCCTTATTTTTACTACTATTTCGGGGTAATTTTTACGTCATAGTTCTTTCATTAATTTGTATTGTGGAAATATTGCGTTGCTACGGTATAATCAAATTTGTTCATTGACCATTCATATATTTTTTCACAAAAGGAACATTTACAGGATCTCCAAGTTTGAATTTTTTTCGAAATATTTGTGTAATGACCTGTCAAACATCGCCATAATCAAATATATCTTGGATTGATTCGACATTTTGCTGAATTCCCTCCCAAAAGCCGCGTAGTAGAGACATATTGTTTGTATCATTATGTTTACCTTCTTCAAGTTAAATGGAGAATCGGATTGTGGGAATAACGACAATAGAAATGGTCCAAATTTAAAAAAATTGTCCTAATTTTCGCAATCCGCATCTTCATTGTTTGTATTGTAGAAGTTGTTTCAAAGACAGGCGTTGCTTTTGGCATGTTTGTCACCATATTATTTGAATCATAAGTAACAATAAGATTACGGAATATATCTAATTTGGACGATGCACATATCACAAAAATACCTGAATGATCTATGTAGATCCTCGAATGTCATGTGGCAAGCAATATTTCCACCCTCAAATCAAATTAAGGAACCATCATGACGTACAAATTACCCCGAAATAGTAGTAAAAATAAGGAAATTACTCATAACTTGAAAACGCCGCAACCGATTTTGATTTTTTCTTCTGCGATGAAAAGGCGAATGATGTCGAAATAAATCTGTGATGAAAAATACAGGGTGTTCCATTTGAAAAATTCTTATGATCGTCGTCTGAATCTTACAATATTCAGAATGTAAATTTTAGCACCCTGTAGAGGATTATCTCCCAAGATTACTGGATTAGTATACGTGAGACTTGCTACTACTGTATGCCAGAAATATTTCCGAAATTTCAATAAATAACTATACCATACCCAATTGAACATGGCCCTTCAATAGTAGTAAACATGGGTTTATCAATTATAACTTGGCAACGCCGCAACCAGATTAAATTTTTTCACAGCGATGTAGAGCTGAACTTAAGCGGAATAAATTTCGAATGAACAATACTGGGTGTTCCATTTGAAAAAACTCGTCTTCGAGTTGCCACGCTTTTATAAAACACCCAGTATTGTTGGAAATATTTTAGAAATGAGCAACTTTAGTAACTGAAAAAGTTTTTTCCCCAAAGTTTTCCTCTAGTGATAATTGATTTCGAGATATCGAAGAATTACGCACTAAATGGACACACTGTATAGACCAATGAGTTGATGACTTCAAAGTCTTTGATTTTTTACCAACATAAGCCGAGGAAACGTTTTATGAATACATATTCAAAATCTCGGAGTGGCAACAATTTATGAATGTATCATATTGTAATTCATATTTCTTCCTTGATTTCTCCGGTAAGAGATTCAAACTCTTGCGCTTTCTGCTATATCATCAGGAAGGAGGTGTGTTTGATGATTCGCTGTCACTATTTTCCATCATGAAAGAATTGGGGGTTTTCAAGAATAGATAAGTATAGGTTACAGAGATAAGCGAGCGTTTTTTCAATATTTCCGCTCACGAGCGCAAATGCTGTCAAAGAATGACATTTCTGGGAAAACGTCAACTTTGTGCTGGAATTTGAAAGCGTCAAAGGCTACTGTGTTAAGCGTTTGTAGAAAAAGTAACTTTACCGCACTACTGCTGAAAAGTTACTTTTTTCCCACGATTTTTGTATTGTTGAAAATGAAGATATTGAGGACTAACTCAATGATCTATGTATATATTTCGTCTTATGTCTCATTTTGTGGCATTATTATAAAATCTTGTTCAATAAATACCCTTTTTTCTTCATAAATGATATGGACAAGAACACTCGTTGGTATTCAAAAATTCCACCCAACTCCTGCGGAAAAGTACTACTTTCTGCACTTACGTAATAGGTATCGCCTATATACATACATTATGTTTGAGCTAAACGAATTTTTGCATCTGGGACACCTAGAATATGTTAGACTATACATTGATGGAATGAATATACATATTATTCTCACCTCATATTTTATTCTTTCAGGGGAAAAATATACCCCGATCTGTGGAAATGGAAATTTAACCTGTATCAGCTTCGTCAAAAGTGAGTACACGTTATCATTTGTATTTAATTTCAAAACTCCAATTCTGCGGTACGTTAACTGTACCAGGTGAGACGTTATAAAATACAGCACCCTATATAACTCTCTCATTTCCGATAGTAGGTAAATAAGTGAAAACCAGCCCCAAAGGGGATGTTTTTTAGTTCTTGAATCAAAAGATGAGTTTCCACTATATGAGAAAATATACAGGAAGCTGCAGAAAGTGTATGAATTTCCGATAGAATATCCTGTACAGAGTGTTATTTGATTGGAGTCTGGAAATATATGATTATATATTTCAACGATTTATCACTTTTTCTAGTATAGTTAAAATCAAAGTTGATGATGGCAGCTCAAAGACGATACGTCCTTTTGAAAATCTGATAACTCCATCGTGTAGAACAGATAATCTAGCAATGATAATGTGTGATTTGTTCTGTTATACCTATTCAAATAGATTCAGAAAAGAACGAGGAAAAGAATTTGAATGAAATCGTAAATGTTTGATTTTTGCCAAAAATCTTTGGAAGTATTTGGAATGTTACAAAGTTTAAGATGGCATTTTGGTATAGTCATAAAATTGTGCGACTTTGCCTCTGTAGCTCTTACCGTTTCCGAGATCCCCATGCATATATCTACTTGAATTTCTCTCACCCGGTATATTGAGCAAAATGAAACAAAAAACTATTGACATTATTGAAATGAATATTTCAACTGGTATCGTAAAGAAAGATTTGTCAGTTTTGTACATTGTCTTATACAGTATGATGCAAATGTATGGAATAAATTCGTTATTTCAGAAATGGGCGACATTTGAAGAAATTCCAAAAACACGTGAGTTTTAATTTTTGAAACCTCATCTCATGACATTCATATGAGAGATGTTACGTCACTGGTGCTGGAGTAATGACGTAATGGACGGTTTTTTTAAATACAAACAGGGGTCATGTGACACCTCGTTTGAGAGGTCTACTGATCGTCTATCCAATAGTCAAAATTTTGCAAAAGATCAAAATGGATTATCATTTAGTTAACTGAATCTTGCAGAGATCTTCTACTGAGAATTGAACATCGAAGGGTCGTCTAGTTAAAAAAATACATCGATAAAAAAGTTCTGAACTGTACTTTTTGGATTTTTTTCGGAAGTCGTCTTGTTCTGAAATGATTTTATTCCATACATTTGCATCATACTGTATATTAGGATCAAATGTGACGATTTGTTTCACAAGCGATATTTGCGTTTGCGAGGCGGAGCGACAGTCACTTTTGGTCTGAATGAAACATGCCATTTTTGTCTGCAATCCAAATAATTGATATCTTATTGATAAAATATACGTGTAGCTACCACTATTTTGACTCACTCAAGCATGTCAGTGTCGAAGCAGCTATCATACCAGCTGTCATCCGACACAATTTTAGTTCCTAGTTCCTTCAACTTTAGCTCCTATTGACACTAAAAGTAATGCCTAATAACATACATACTAATTATTTTTTCTGCAACCGACACAAAAGTCGTCCATTTTTATACCAAAATTAGCTCTTGAATTTACGTTTCTATTACTGACACAAAAATAGGTATGTTGCTAGGCATCATATCCAGTTCTTAGGAGCTAAAGATGAACTTCATTTCCTAGGAGCTCTTAGCAACTAAAAAGAAAGTACTAGATGTCATCAAGAATAAACAACATTGTTACGGTTGGTAATTTGGGTTAGAACGCATACCTGATTTTTTTCCGACTTCGGCAGATTTGGCATTTCATACCCATGCTGGAGATATAAATACACCTTATTATAGTTCAGTATAGAAATCATAAACATATCAGATGAGTATTTTTGATTTGATCAGGGAAGTCTTCAAGATTCACATACTTGCTTGATCTGTATTTTATTCGTCATTCTTGGAATTGATATCTTGTTTTTGAATATACACGGCAAGCAATTGTTTTTTGTCTCAAACAACGATATTGTTCACCTCCATTTGATCATCAAGTCAAATAGAGTGTAGTATGGAGAGGAATAAATAATCGCTATTACTATTGTTGATCTGCTCACTAACCTAACATTTTCCACGTCCTATACCTGGCACTGGCGCGGTATTTGCCTTCAGAGCAACTGGTCCATTCACTCTGTGGTTGTATTTATATTGAAACTACAATTCGAACATCCTTGAAAATTGAATAAACCTGCTGTTAATGCAGGTAGAATATTCTCATCACACGGATTATTTATTTGTTGCATTATACATACAAATGCACGGCATTGGTGGTAACTTCACATATTTATTTGAGTTAATTGTTTCGGTTGCAGAAAAAAATAGCATGTTTCATTCGGATCAAAAGTGACTTTGTTTGCTTCGCAAATTTTGCTTTCGCTCGGCTTCGCTGAACGCTCTGCCTCGCAAATGCAAAATTCGCTTGTCAAACAAAGTGTCACTTTTTATCCTAATAAAAAAATCTACTATTACTGATGTCAGTAAGAGAAACGTCAACTTCAAGAAGCAAAATTGGACGACTCTGGAGTCGGCTGCAGAAAATATCCTTTTCTTTAAGACGATTTGAACAAATAAAATCGCCTTGTCACAACATGACGTCGTTCAAATTAACTATTCTTTTTTTTCTCAGGATACATGGACATTGCCGGTCTTCGACGCTCCCTTGACAAAGAGACGAATATCCGCAATTTCAGCAAGATCCTCAGCTGCGATTGCTTGCCTATGTGTACGATGGTGGAGTACAATACTGAAATAACAGAAATCGATTACGACTGGTACAAGAAATACGAATCTATTGGGAACAAAACGGAACGAGATGAAAAGTAAGTGAACGAGAAACAAGTTGGTAGCAATATCGAAGGAACACTTATACTGATCACATGGTGTTTTCATTTACACTTTATGCCTGAAGCATTGATGAAATAAACCTCTGGTGTACGCACTCCAATCCTTTCCTGTTTAACGTACAATTCCTTGATTTTCGCATACTTCGATAAACATGACATGGCGTGGATGAATCTCGCTAAGTATAGTCTGGTGCCGTACCAAAATTACAGGCATCAATGTGACAATTATTGTGACCGAATTGTGACCTATGAAGATAGGGAATACATTTTGCGATTCAGCCGCATCAAGGTTTTGATAGAACTGATGTTGATCATGAGTTCTAGGAATCACGCCATCTAACATTCAATATGTGATCCACACGTTATCGTCCTAAATGCAATTGTTTATATCAAGAACCAGACTGACGAAACAAAAAATGAAAAGTGAGCGCACCAGAGGTTTATTCCATCAATCCTAAAACTTGTTATTGACAACCAGCTGATGAGATGCTTGTGTCGATAATCTTCACAGATGTATCTTCTCACGTCGAAAATGTAACGAATATGTAATCGATTGTGAAATATTGCTAGATAGCCATATAGAGCCCATTTCATCATTGACTTCATCATTATTTTATCGAGAGTAGGTAACCTTATGTTTCGACAATTTGATGAAGTTTATGTACATTAATCATTTGAATATAACGCCCAAAGACTCTAGTTCGAGGTAGTTATTATTAGTGTTGTTGAACATGAGCTATAGCTACCGAAACCAATAATATACGTTTATCCACGACTGTTATATGAAATATTAATAATACATGTATATCCTCAAGCCAAACGGTAGCCATTTTTCCGAGCAATCTTCACACCAGTGAATAATAGCAGTGAATAACCATAATTTACTGGTCTAGAGTTCCTAGGGTTCGCGGTAGCATATAAGAAACTTTAGACCAGTGAATAATGGCCATTCACTGCTATTATTCACTGGTATGAAAAATGAAAATTGTTTTGCTTGAGGAAGTACAACAAACGTGGAAAAATGATTAATGTAACAGGTATCTTCAATTTATAATTTTCTCAATGTCAAATGAGTTATGATAAAACAGTTGTTAAGAATACATTCATATATCAAAAACAATAGTAGTCGTGGACAAAGTATAGTATTCTACTCGCATATAATGAGCTATTATTCACTCAGGTTAATAATGCCACTCGCTACGCTCGTGACATAAACTCAACCTTCGTGGATAGTAGCTCTCATTATATTATGCTACCAAGTTAGTTTTCGATATTTCATGAACAACTAGTCAATGAAGAAACAGCCTCCTCTGTTGAGCCTTATATTTCACCCAAAATCACTGTTCTGATGCGATATTCGCAGGAATGGGACTCGAGTCTAGTAAGTATATTGATCAATAACGATTTGTCATAATGCTGGCATGGTCATAGATTAGAATCGAAAAGTAGTGCTTTCATGGTGCCTATAGGTCCATGTTTGAGTTTCACAGAACTATAATGGTTGCAATATATTGCTAGTGGTGGAACACATTTGATATATACCTTACTAATAATGAATATTATTATGCCACACGACTTTTTCAGACCTCTGTTGCAGCCTACCTTGGTGTATAAATAGCTATTCCACCACTTATACAGTGTGTCCCACTTACCATGCTCACCATGGGTATCTTTTTAACGGTGAGAGATACGAGGTCGGTTAAATGACACCAAATGTGGAGTTAGTCAAGGCCAACTATAATGTGGAAAAATATTTTGATGAAATCTATTCGTTTTTGTTTTATACGCAAAAAACAGATTTTGATCATTTTCATGTCTCCTCCGTAACTTATTTATTTATGGAAATATTCAAATAGGAATTTCACATTCTCATGGCAGTTTTCCAAAGTGATTTCGGAAAAAAATGAAATTTATACCAACTCTTCTAGAATTTGAGATATCAGCACCAACTCCAGTTTTTCAAATGTAGGTCATAACTATGACTTAGTTACAAATAACTTTTTTTTCTCTTACAGATGATATGTCGCAGTAATAGTTTTGTGTTGATAACAATGGAGTTATCGTCATTTATACAAAAACAAAAAATCATTTGGAAGCCGCCATCTTGAATTTATGAATTCCAACAGAAAAATCATGATCTTCGATCTCAAAAACCCCCACTTACCAATTTTGAATGAAATCGTACCAAATCTTGTCCGCCATCTTGGAGCAGCCATTTTTTTAATATCAACAAAAATTCCATAACTCCGATTAACTTAAAATTTGACAGGTGTTTATGATTCCGGTGACAATACATCACACCTGAAATTATGTCGGAGGTCATTCCCACAATGCTGTGACTTTCTGCGTCCGTCAGTAGTCTGCTGCGTTCTGTGTTGGCCTGATTTGTATAATTTGCAATATGTGCAATTCTGTATGTTGTCCATGAGAATGTGGAGGGGAGGTAGGTCTAAAAGGCTTATCATTTCTGCTGACGGTGTGGTGCTGATTGCCCCAGTGATCGCCAGAAAAGCCTGTCTCTGTATGCTAGAAAGCTCTTCTTGTGCCATTCGCAGTGAGGCTTGCGAAAAAGCGGTCGCTTCATATGTGATCATTGGGCTGACAATCATCACATGTATCCAGTGGATTCGTTTGGGACCGAAACCCCAAGATCCTCCTCAAATCTTTCGACATGTCCATTTGGACGATCTTGCTTTGTGAATAACCTTTCCTAAGTAAGCATTCCACGTGCGTTTCTTATCAAGGAGTTATACTAGATGTTCCACTTTCGCTGCAAATGAAATGGAATTGTAGGAAAGTGGAGTTAGATCATCAGGTTCCTTTTTATGATGAAGGGTACTATTACAGTCTTGGTAGGGTTGACAGACATCTATTTCCTCGACCACCAACTGTAGCATATCAGAGGTTACCCTTCCAGTTGTGTTCCTTGCGAGAAAGACAAGGTCGTCTGCATAAGCTTGATGCTCCGTCGTACATCGGTCGAGGACATTGAGCAAACTGTCCATCAGAGTATTCACAAAAGGGGGACAGCACCTTGCCTTGTGGGCAACCCCTGGAGACCTTGAACATATCTAATAGTACCTACCTATATACAGAGTTTCTATAAATAATCGTAGCATCGTCGTAGGTGGCTATGGAATATGGAGTTGTCTCAATGCCTTTTACTTGCGGAGATCGAACTAAAATACGTTCGGTCGTTCCGATGTAAAATGAGCAGAAAGCGGCGAATGGAACATGTATTTCAACGGCCACTACGATGCCATGAACTTCCAAAGTAATAAGTTTGAGTATATCCAACTATATATATAACTGAAAAATAATATTTCTACTATGCATTGTTAAAATTCCTCAATGTCACGAATTGACAAGTACTGAGGTATTATAGGTAGGTATTGGTAAATTGATTGAGATATGGATATATACCTACAAAAATTTGGGCCATATTTTTCAAACCTTTTTTAAAGCTTTACTGATACGATTATTTCCTTGTAGATACTCCAGTTCCCAATTGGTCATCTATTTCAAGTCAGGCCACTATATCCCATGCGTCAGACATGAATTATATGGACATCTGGATTTTCTGGCAAATGTTGGAGGTCTTCTGGGATTATTCGTGGGATTTTCATTGATCTCTCTGCTGGAAATACTTTACTTTGTTTCAGTTAGAATTATTTGTAATATGAAACTTTATCAACATTGGTATGGGGAATAAACGAAATTATCTCAATGTACAAGTAGATACTACGAATTATAACATTGTGCATGGAGAATAAATTATATCTATCATAATACCTGGATGAGTTTCTGTTGTGATTACAGAAGTAACAAGCGATTATGAAAACATTTATCTACAACTATGGAGTCATTCATACATTGCTAACTCGATTTTCAACATTTAATGACAGACATTATTGTGATGAATCGAGTAATAAGAGTAATAATGACAGTAGGATGGCGTAATAATCTGACATCCCATCGTCTTGTCAAATTCAACTATAGGTAGGTATTCGTTCTACTAGTTCTACTAAAGCACACCACTATACTACTGTTTGTGAAATACACGCAAATTCAAAAGACTCACCTTACATTGTTCTCATAGTTTTAATCACCTTCTACAAATACACGGAAAAATGAGAATTCACTGTTTTTCATTCTCAACAGTGACTACCATCATGAGTAACCATGACCATAAAATAGGACTTGACACTTGACAGTTGCAGATTGGCTCGCACTTATATGAGGGCTATTCGAATAGATTAGTACAGACCAATCAGAATCGCGGTAGGGAAATGCTACAGCGAAAGCAAGTTAATGAATAATCTGCAATAGTATTATTCATTTTACAATTGCAAAAAGGGAAATGGCATATAATACCTGGTAAGATTGACTGATATGTGATTGCACAACTTTTTTCCTGTTAATAAAAGTTAGATCCAACATTGTTTATCATATTTTCACAATCAAAAATATTGAAATAAGTTATAAGCTGTTCGTTGGTTGAAATTCCTGTCAATAAGTTTTCGATGAAATCAATGAGTATTTCAAATCAGATTAAGTGATTTTGCTATATGATAACCTTCATTATTTCTGAAGATATATTCCTGAACTCTCAGAGTTGCTTTGATATTTGAATAGTTGTAGATAAAGTATAGTTTTCTACTCGCACATAATGACCATTACCTACTCAGATGATTACAGCACTCGCCTTCGGCTCGTACTGCAACTTTCATCTTCGTGGGTAATAGCCATCATTATGCGCTCGTTGAATAATATACTATTGTGAATACTAGCTTTCATAATATTGCACGACACACACAAAGAGACCCTGACAGACAGGCACCGGTACATATAAAACTGAATAAATGCTTGTAATTGTAAAAATATCCGACAACAAGAGCCCCCATATACCAATTTTGAATGGAATTGGATCATAAAAGACGAAACTTGTTAGTCATTATTGAATCCGCCATCTTGAATTTCCCAATTTTGACGATAGAAGCATAACCTCACCCCTAAAACTCCTAGATACCAATTTTGAATAGAATCGGATCATAATTACAAAATTCATCTGCCATTTTGAAGCAGCTATGATTTTTCTTTGTCTAACAAACATTTTATGATGCATTATCACTAGAATTGATATCATTATTATTTAACTTGCAAGATTTGATTACACACAGGCACTGGGTCAGGTGAAACTAAATAAAAGCTACGCGGCGTCGTGCTAAATATCACTAAATTGTTGTTGTTCTAAAATTGTTTCATCCGTCATTCGGTTTCCCCCTTACGAGCAACCCTCAGAAGTCTTCGAAAGACTTGTGCGAGCAAGGAATGACGGGGGCCTTACCTTTTAACGTGTGATCCCAAACACTTTCTTAGGCCATCAGAAAAAGTCTGCGTTCGTGGGTCTCGAACCCACGATCGATACCTCGACGTGAATCGATATTGAAGCATCGAAGCACTGAGGTACGCCGGCCGTTACTCGTGTGAACTTTGTCACTTTTCACACTAGCTATGTAATATACTATCATAGCGCGGTACCTTAGTTTTCTTCAACCTCTCAGCGGCTCACATGAAAAGCCAGTAGATGTTATTGAAAAAATCCTCTATATCAATATCAAATCTACTTAGTAGTAGTAGTAGTGGTAGTAGTAGTAGTGGTAGTAGTAGTAGTGATAGTTGTTATATTTGTATTATCGAAAGTTTTAGAAATTGAATATAATTAGATAACAGTTGAATCTGTGATGTTTATTTACTGACTTTTTACATTCCATAGCAATCCTATCATAAGTACATCAATCAGAATAATTATACAGAATGTAACATATCTCTAACATCTCCTTTCCTAAAATATGAAATCATAAATTTAGTCTTTGAGGTGGTTTGATCAATCGTCCTGATGCTGTATGTTTTTTAACAACTATTTCTCTTCCTACTACAGAACTTGAATCTAATCATGAATGTTTACATCAATTTCATCACTAATAATTCCTTCACTCTCAAAATCTTTTGTCCCTACCTCTCTTACATCATCAAAATCCTCCAAATCGATATAATATTTGATCATTTCATTATTCTTACTTTTGATCAGTTCATTATCATTACTACATCTCCGACAATTCCTAATACATGTATTACGATACTGGAAATTTCGCGAGTAGTTCTGATGATAGTTTCTTGAATTATCTTGTTTTTCTATCTTCTGGCTAGGACGATTTCCAGAACGATTTCCAATCAGGTCGACAGATCCCATGGCATTTTCTTGATTATCCATAGTCTGCAACCGTTTCTTCGTAGCTTCCATGATATAACACATCTCAATAACCTTATCCAATGTTGGTGGGTCTTCCTGTAGTAATTTCTCACGTATAGTACTGCTAGATATTCCGCAAATTATCATGGTTTCTATTAAATCATTTTGCAAATCACCCAGCTTGCAATTCATTCCTCGTTTCTTGACTTCTGTGATGAATTGCTCTGTTGTCTGACCAGACTCTTGCTTGTAAGTGAAAATACGATACCTTTCATAATTTATATTCTCTCTTGGTGAAAAATGCTGCTCGAATGCATTCAGTAGCTTCTGAATCTTGTTTATATCCTCTTCTTGAATCTGAAAAGTGGAATATATTTTGAAACCTTCTTCTCCAATGTAATGCAATAGCTGTGCACACTGTGTAGCTTCATCCTTCTTAACCAATTCACTGGCTATGAGATAATTTTGGAATCGTGCACGCCAAATCTTCCAATTCTCTGCTAAATTACCAGTCATAGACATTTGAGAAATTCCTCTATTATCACTCATTCTGGTTCAGTTGATTATGAAGCTCAACTATTCCTAATACGACTGCGCCATGTTATATTTGTATTATCGAAAGTTTTAGAAATTGAATCTAATTAGATAACAGTTGAATCTGTGATTCTTTTACTGACTTTTTACATTCCATAGCAATCCTATCATAAGTACATCAATCAGAATAATTATACAGAATGTAACATATCTCTAACAATAGTAGTATTAGTAGTATAGTGAAGAGGCTACAGCCAGGCAAGTAGGCTCTCATGGGCCCATTTTGCCAACTCCTGATCTCAAATCTATATAAATATCAAGTAATTCCATATTTCAGTCTCATACAGAACATAAATCTGTTCTCTATGAATTATCACTGTCTAATCAAATAATGATACCACATGGGGTATTAAACTCCGTTCCAACTTGGAAGTTTGACTTGCACCAAACTTAGGCGATTCGTCTCAGTTGACCTTTCACATGAAATATTTGACGTTATATATTAATGCTAGCTGGAGCTCCGAAAGTTCCTGGGAGGAAGAAATTTCGAATAAAAGGAACGTAACTTCAGAATGAAGATATTTCATGCACATAGAAAAAGGAGTCGAGTCTAAAAGTCTGTCTCGTACTTATCATTTCGCTGTGAGAATAAAGAATTCTATACAATTCAAAAGAAGTGCGAGGATCTTTTCATTATAATATACTCATGATAAAAAAATCTCACTTTATTCGATGCATCTTGTTGGTGAACTTCTTCGTCTTGCTAATTTTGAGGCGATAAATACAAAATAGACAATGAAATTAAAAACTTGCTTTTCAGTTTTCAAGGATTTGTTTCATAAGTGTCACGTTATGACCTCTCAATAACCGTCTAACCGACCATTTTGCGTTATTACAATCGAAAATGTTCAACTGATAACATTTGAGGGTTGTCATATGAGCGCAGATCTTGAAAGAGTAAATAAGAATTCTCAAGTTAATGTTGTATTTTGGCTTGTTTCCGTAGATAAATTGAATGAGTCGTCGAAAAGTTCTTGAAGCTAGTCGTTTCAAGGTTGTTAATTGATGATTACCGTATGTGGTTTCATCGAATAGATTTCGAAATTGTTGAAACGACTACATGCCAAAATTAATGTTATGTATTGAGTATTCCAGATTCTTTGGGATTTTCTCTCCTCGTTTCCAGATAGTTATTTTTCTACAAACGTCAAAAAATGATAAGGTTCGTACATTGATAACAAACTGCGAAGTGGCACTTTTTTTTCAGTTTCCTACGTTACCATGATACCTTGCACAAAACAATTGCGAAGTAAAAAAGTGCGCGAAGTACATACTTTGGTCATCTCGACTATTTTTTTAACTCGGTTAAGCCTCGTTAAAAAAATCAAGATACAAAATAGGCTCGAGTTTCAAACAACATTTTTTCAACAAACGTCAAAAAATATGGCTCTAAAGTAAAAATATGCGTAGCTTGATATAAAAAATAGTGTTGAAGTGGCTTAGAAAGCCTCCCCCTATCCTCCCTAGGTATGCACGATGTTCCACGAACACAATAGGAATTTCCTTTCGTGCGCTCCAGAAATAAAATAAAGTTATTGTTGAACATTCAGAAATAAGTTGAAATTCAAATATCTCATATATTTTACATCACAATGCGCGAAGTACGTACTTCGCGCACTGTTTTACTTCGCGCATTGTTTTGTGCAAGGTATCATGGTAAAGTAGGAAACTGAAAAGAAGTGTCACTTCGCAATTTGTTATCAATGCGTGAACCTTGTCATTTTTTGACGTTTGTAGAAAAAAATAAAAACATGAATATTATTTCAGTATACGTGTAGTAAGGACAAATCAGATGATTTGCACCAAAATGTCACTGCGTTTAAAGAAGTTTTTCTACATTCATGCAAAAAACAGAACTTTATTGAACTATATTTAGTGGAAAAAGAAGTTCTTTATTGCACTTAGTGCAATAAAGTTTTTA